CGTCCGCTGCGGCACTGCCCGTGCGCCTTGGCTCGGGGATGAACTTCCAGCTGGTGCTCGCCCCCAAAGCTCCCTGGGACTGAAGTGGCGTCGGAAACTGCGGGGTCCTTCCCCCGTCCTTCCCGCTGCAGCACAGCGCTTGTGCCCGCAGCTGGAGGGGCGTACCGGGGCCTCCTGCCTCTAGCAGTACCTGAAAGCCATTTGGCACGTAAAAACGCGGTGCTCTTTTACCTCCCTGCTCTCTTTGGCCAATAGCTCATTTTGGACAGAATGTCCTGAAGTGTTTTCACTCAACCCTACTGGTTGAGGAGAATGTCATTGCATACTGTTGCCATTTGAAATGTGCGCTTTGCATCAATGTCTTGCCTTTCTACTACAAATATTTTGAACAACAAAGTCGCTGTTTGAGGACAGAGGCTTTATATGTGCTAGTCTCATGGTGATCCCTGGGCGGACATCCCTGGCAACAGGGACCAATGCATGAAGGCCTAGTGAACACAATAAAACTCGGAGACCTCACAGTAAAGGATAATTTAGAAAAGAAGAGGGTTTAAATAAATGTATGGTCCCACTATATTTGTTTAGTTTTAATGGGGTAGCCAACACATATTCTATGCTGATGAACACGTGTTTTAACAGAGTTCATTTCCAACATAGATAAAGTGACCTTATTAAGGCAAACCCTAATGCCGAATAGCGAGAGGCTGTGAAAATGGCTACTGATGTAGCAAGTCAAACAGCTGAGATCCTGCCGGAATTGCTGCAGGTATAGAAGATAAATGCAGATGCATCAGCATCCAAACAGAAATCACAGGAGAGTCATCTTTCCTGTAGACCCACATCTATCAGTTGAGGGTTATAAATATGAAAAGTATTTGGGGAGTTTTCCCATGCATGCAGCATCGTAGAGAAAGAAACCAGCTAGGCGAGAAAGGAGAAAACGTTCACAAAAAGGAAGTTTGCAGTAGAAGTAAGGAGAGACAGGCAAGTGAACAAAGGAGGAAAAGTGGAAGAGATGGAAAAGAAAAATTAGTAATATTCACAAAGGGGAAAGAGCAATCACTGACACCAAATCCTGATTTTGATTACTGGTTTCAGTGACTTAGAATTTCTCTTATGCTCTGTTGAACCATATTTTTAAACCATGAGAAATACCAAAATTATTGTAACAATTGCAGGAACTCAGAGGTGGAAAGAGAAAAGTGATCTGCCTGAATTCCACTGAAAGAGATGGGCTGTTCCTTTACTAAGCAAGGCAGGGGGACTTCATACAGCAAAAGGTAAGATTTAAGACTTTTTTTTTTTTTTTTTTTTTTTAAATCCTGGTCTATGACTTGGTAAATAAAAGATATTTATCGGTAAAACTTTGCTTGTAACTTCAGTGTTCTGTAGCTGCACTGGACAGGATAGTTAGATCATTCTTTTCTGATGATAAGCACATCAGGTAGCTTTTATGTAGCCGTTTTTGGTGTATACTTAAAATATACCTTGAGTGAATGTTGTGCATTCTAAAGTATTTTATGGCTGATAGATTTCAACTGTTGAGACTTTTTTTTTTTTATTATTGTTTTCTGAAACTCCTCCTCTTCTCATTATCCTTTTTTCCCATGGATATTTCCAATATCTTTTTCAAAATGTTCCAGATGGAGTCATTCCAGTCCTTTATACAATGCCATAATAACGGGATAAATTAATAGATGACATGAATTTAAGGTCATTGTAGTTTTTACAGGGTTATTATTTTAAATGTTCTTTGGCTTTAAGCTATTTCCATCTTAGTAGGTGTGCATGGTTAGTTGAAGAACCTGTTGAATCTGTTTAGAGTTGCAAGTATGTAATGAATTTTCATGGGTTTTTTGGTATTTGCTTTCGGTATTTTTCCACTGCATAATTACAGTTTGTGTGAGGGTTACTTATTTTGGGAAAATAGAAGCCAAATTTTTTTGTGTTGTGTGTTAGCTTTGTTTTATGCTCATATGACTTACAGCAGGATTTGTATTGTGTGTTTCATCACATAAATAAAACATGTTTTCTCTTGATTTAAGCAAAAATCTCCAAGGTACTTAAAATCTCAGGTCTAACAGTTCTAAATAAAATGTAAATAGCACAAGACTTGTGTGCTACTACCAAAGGTGAAGAAATACTACACTGAAAATCTCCTGTCAGAAAACCAGCTTACTTGGTCTGTAGAAACCTTTTCCATTATATTGTGACATTCACTGGAAGACTTAAAGACAATTTATAGCAGCACCTAAATAAGGCCCTGAAATTATCAGATTTTGTGTATGTGTTCAGCTTTTGTGTGATGAGTGATAAACTGACTTCAGTAGGTTTCCTCAGGATACAAGATAATGATTTGAAGTGTACAGCAGTGAATACGAAAAAGAAAATTCATTATGATCTTAGCAGATGATCAGTTTAAGCGTGACATCTTAGATGCACATAACTGGTTTTTGGTCACTGTGGCTTTCACATGCTAACTCCAATCCCAAATTATCTCAACTTGGCACAGTACCTCACATGATGATAATCTCAAGAACAGGAAATTCTACAAGTTTGGTCTATAATTCCATAAAGTATACTTCATTTCAATGTCTCTAAATTAGCTTTCCTTAGGGTATCCCTAATTTTAATTTTGATAGAATAAAGACTGCATAATTCCAATTACAGAATGTGTTACTGTGGAGCTAAAACAATGCCTAGTACATCATTTGTAAGGACTCGGGTCTGATCTCATCTAGATAGGCAAACATTGCTGTGTTTCTAGTCAGATTCGCTTAGTAGCTGATTTTACATGATTCAGTACACAGCAATAGGTGCTGGGATATCTTGGGGTAAAATCAGGTCAAGGTACTTGATCAGATACAGTTTGTTTCACAAGTGGGTAAAGATACGGTGCGGTATGTTCCGGGGTATCGGAGCTCAAAATTTCAGCTGTTAATAACCTGTGAAATACAATAAAATTATTTGTATTGAGTGGTCACGATTTAATAATCAACAGTCACAAGAAGCTGGGATATGTTGACATATGAACATCCATTGCTTTTTCCTGCATTTTAGAACATCAAACAATAAAGTATGGTGCTGTGACTCTGTATTCTTTAGACAGCAATTCCATCTTAAGGACTTCTGCCAACCTTCTAAATTTTGCATCATTTCCCTTAATTTTACTCTGTCTTTCATTCTACAGTACATGCTGGAAAACCAGCTTCATATTATTCTTATACCCAAATAAAGAACTTCCAATATTTGGATGAACTAAAATGCTTACATTTTACCATGCTATTCTACATTTCCATGTATATATTGTGAAAAATGACAGTCTTAAGTGTTTTAGGAAACATACCTCCAGTTTCTTTAGATTCTCTTATTTCTAGATGTGTTGCAACACTGTGTCTTCTGAACAAATCTCTGAAAATGTGAATATGCAGTTCTCTCTTCTTTTTTTACACACACCTCACACACACACACACACACACACCCCCGTGAGTAGAGTGTATTTCTGGTTTGTAACACATCACTGACACTGCTATCCTTGTCAAAAGTTTTGGCATTGTAAATAATCAGTAGTCATAGCTTGTTGCTTATAGCAGAGTTTAATGAGGTTTCTCAGTGTGGGTAGCTTGGTGGTAAAAATGCAGCTGTATTTCGGAGTGCTCTTCAAGAATAAAATGCATGCATACTAAATTTTCTCTTATGCAGGTTTCAGTATGTTTTCGTAACAGATCATGTGTATGTGACAGATCTGATATAAGAATATATGCACTGTTCTTTTTTAAATACCTGACACAAAAGCATAAGGTAGAGCGTGAGCTTTAGTCTCTAGTATTTGCAGCCAAACATACTGCCTTTCATAATGGTGTGTCATAGTAACTGTATAGGGCCGTGTAGTAGCTAATATACTAGAAGTTTTTTCTGATTCAATAAATGTAGCTTCTTGTCCATATCATGCTTTCTGTACAGAAAAAACTGAACTGGAAAACTTTGTCCTTTGTTTATCAGTATTAGTGGAGGTAGTGTCATTTGAGAATCAATTGTGTTGCTGTCATGCAAGAAAGCCTTGCTTTAGAA